GTCATATCGAAGCGCTGTTCACGAAAGTTTATCAGTGACACCAGCTTTCGCAAACTTTGGGAGAGAATTGCGGCTGCCTGCAGACCTGATCACCGGAATACCACCTGATGCCCCACGCAGTATAACCGATTATGCAAATGACTTGCGGAACAAAATGAATGACATTTATGAGCACGTCAGACAGACGGGCCAGCAAACGTCTGAGAAGATGAAAACACGGTATGACCGCAAAATGAACAACAAGGGCTTTGATGAAGGTTCACTAGTGTGGTTACACAATCCAGTTCGCAGCAAAGGGAAATCTCCTAAGCTTCAAGCTAAATGGGACGGACCGTACCGGATTGTGACAAGGATCAATGATGTAACATACCGGATACAGAAAGGTGCCAGAGGTACTCCTAAGATTGTCCATGTGGATCGACTGGCGCGTTATTATGGGGCCAATAATGCTCGGGACGAGCATGTCTTAGGAGGGGGCAGTGTTACGCGCCACTATTAATGTCTTGTACATGGCAACACTAGTTACACTAGCGCCCCCTAGTGTCGAGTAAATGAAAGTATTGCGCGCCACTATTAATGTCTTGTACATGGCAACACTAGTCACACTAGCGCCCTCTAGTGTCGAGTAGCAGAACTAGGAGAGTCGAGATCCTTCCAGAAATTTCGGGACCGATATGTACTCGAACATTCTAGATGTCGCTACAGTAGAAGGTTCTGGAAACTATCTGAGGCCCTATATAAGACCGGTATAGACCACGACCGGGGCAGTATTGAATTGGCGATACAAGAGAATACTTCGAAGCGAAATAACGGCGAACTGTGTTTTATTATTAGTGTGATTTTAGATTGTAATTAGTGTTGTGTAACTAAAGTGTTAATTTTGGTAATTAAATCGGCAGTTTTTAATTGTCTCGAACCCCAAGCTCGTAACAATATTTACATGTGAGTGCTTTTCATTTGACAGATTGATTCTTGTCAGTGAAATTAGTGACATAGTGCAAAATCAAGTGACAGTGCAAGATCCTTCCCGCCGCCTGAGTGATATGTTAAAAAATAGATCCTATTACGTGCCTCTATATAAATTCATCAAAAATACAGTGGGGAAATTATAATAAACCGAATAAAAATACTCAAGACTTGGCCTAAAGGTCTAGATGCCAGGCCAGAAACTCCAAAAAAAAAAAAAAACCAGCTTTTTTTAAAACTCCCTTTACAGCTCTGGGTTCTAGCCCTTTCTAACCTGAAGTTACAATGTATAATTATCCTTCATAGTACACTGATCACAATATGTTGATACGTCACATTGTGCAGCCCTTGGGAGATTTTGACGGTAACTTGAGCCAGTAGACACCTCATCTTGAAAATCATTTCACCATCAGAGCACTTGTTTTACCGTTTCCACTAATAGTTCACATGCGCAGACTCTTAATACACAAAATCGCACCACTTTTACATATCAAAATCCACTTCAAATCATTATTTAAACAATAATACAGGAGCAGTAATCCGCCGCCGGTCAATTCCCCGCCAAAAAATCAATCAACCAGCCCTATATATAATGCACTAGTAGATCAAACTGATCAAAGAGTATAGTAACTGTCATATACAGGATTATAGTATATTCAATTTAATTCACAGACTAACAAGTAGGTTGTAAGAGGCTTAAAGCGCGTATCCACCGAAATTGTTGGCTTTTATGTTTCCAACTGTTTGCAACTCAACAAAAGTTAGCAACTTTTGCTTCCGTTATTTCCACACCAAATTGAAACAAGTCGCCAACAATTTCAAAAACTTTTCAGTTGACAACTAGTTGTCTCCACCAAAGTTTTGTTGGCAACAATATGTCTTCAAGCGACGATATTATGCAGGCAGCCACAGTATTTATAATTTTTAGCAAATCAAGTATTATGAACGACAAGTTTTATTAAACAAAGTTATATGAGCAACGTTGTAACTAGGTTTAAACTCGCAAGTTTGCTATCAGAAAGTGATTCTTCTGTTCCTGTACTATTATTTGTTCTATTATAATAGCAAGTATTCGCGGCATTTCTATTGCATATATTATACCCAAATTATAAACATTATTTATTTTCATCTATCATTTTTTTCTTCTCAATGAATAACTGTCCCGTCAATTTTTTTATTTTCCTTTAAATTTTTAGTTCGTTTAACCCTGTCACTTATATTTTTCCATGCATCCTTTTTTATATTTATATCTTTATAATTTTCATTACACACATCACATAATGAATTTTGTGAACGAAATTAATTAATTAATGTGTCGATTGACTCGCTTTTGTATGTGACAGACATCATGTTGCCAACTAATGTTTCCAATAAGCATCTCCACAGAGCGAACTAATGTTTGCAATAAGCGTATTGCTTTGATGTTACCGTCGACAATGGAAACACTGTTCCCAACATTGTTTCTAAAGGCACGGCAGTGCCCCCGCCAAGTCGAGCAAAAAAGCGGCACGGCCGTACCATCCTTTTCTCGAAGCAGTTCAGGCCATTTTCGACCCCCTATAACTTTGTTGTGGATAAAACTAGAAACATGAATTTTCAGTAACTGAGCTTGTATTGTATAACACGATGTATTTCAAATTTTATTCAATTGAACCTGTAGTTTAAGAATTATAACCCTTCAAAGTTTCTTAACTTTGTCACTCATTGATTGACCGATCATCAAAACTCTAAGGCACTTCTTGCAGACGTAGGAGCTTCAAATTTAGACTACAATTAGTGTTTAGTGTATAAATCAAGGAAAAATTAAAATATTTTGTAATTTCGGTCCAGTTTTCTAGATACACCAACTGCATAAATAACTTTATAATCCTATATAAATATATAGGATTACAAAGTTACATTTGCAGTTAATGAATCAGTGTATCTGTATGTGTATAATATAACGGAATAAAGAAGTAGATAGGTACATAGATATAATTATGTTCAAAGGTAACTTGTAAAATTTTCAACGGAATGAAAAAGCAAGAATGAGACATGTTTTATGAAGTTGTACCAAAATTCCGCAAAGTATTAAGTATACTAAATTGCCCAAAAATCCGTAGTAGATAATCAAGATAAAAGGTAGGACTATCTACAAAAAGAAATGAGATGCCATCGAAAATTAAGTCTCGCAACTTTATAAACATTCAAGATAAATATCCCCAGCGTACATATAAAATTGCGTGCCGAATTGAGGTTTGGTATCCTTTTCTATCTTGCATTTTATCCATAAGGAACTTTCTTCATTTTTACCATAAAGATTTTGATACGTAAAACTGGTGCCATTTTGTGTATTTAATATCTGCGCATGTGAATTAATAGTGGAAACGATTACACAAATGCTTCGATGGCTTTCGATGGTGATTTGGAACCGTAAGATATTATGACCGCTTAGGCACCTTGACATACCATCGTTATCGACTGTCTGCTGGCTCAAGCTGCCATCAAAATCACTTAAAAACTTCAAGATGTAACGTGTCAACATACTGTGAAGAAGTTTTTAAACAAATTATTATAATGGATAATTTCTTAGATACTTGACACTGGCAAAAGCACGACAGTACGAGTTCATTACCAAAAAAAAGACAATTTATTACCAAAGAAAAAGAAAAAAAAGACAAGATAATCGCTATCAGTGCTACCAGTATACACTGTTATTACCGTAAATACACGATATTTTTAACCAAAACACGGTCCACGGTAATGACTTATCACCGTGTCCTTTTCTACAGTATTCTTCAAAATAAATCACCGTGTAAATGATAGCTGCATTTGAATCCAAAATTATAAAAAGGCGTAAGATGAAACGCATATTCTAATTAGGTAGACTAAGCCCGCCACATACATACGGAATTCCGTTTCAGGATTCCGTTTCGATATTCCGATTCGAGATTCCGAACGCAGCAAGTTCATATGAAACCTGTGCTCCGTCACACACGTACGGTAGTTTTCCGTTCGAAATTTTGCGGGCGAATCGGGATTCCGTATGTGTGTGGCCGACCCGTTCGAAATTCCGAAACGGAATCCCGAAACTGAATTCCGTATGTATGTGGCCGGCCTTAATCAGCAACACCGGCTGCCGTTGGGAAATTTCCAAACATTTAATAGCGTGGCAGATCATATAATCTGGCAAAATGAAAAAGACTTTTTTTCAGTGGTTTTCCCTTTTCTATAATTTAATTTCAAAATTAATAGTATATTAATGAATTAATTGAATGTTACATTTCTTAAGAAAATTTTTTGCTGTTTGCTGGTGCATAAAATATTATTTTTCTTTACGAAATCGAAATACGAGATCATAATGGGCAGCGATGAAAGTGACAGTGGTAGTTACGAGACTGATACTGAAACTGAACCAACATTCTCCAAAATAGCAAGAGCTGGGCAAAAACGTAAGCATTACAAACAAAAGTTCTGAGATTATTATATACTTCTAAGATTTAATGACTATGTGTTACTTTATTAATTTAAAATTATTTTAATTACCTCTTTCTTTGCACACACACTTAAGCAATGTTTTCATTGTTTATAGTGAGCTCAACTGATGGAGCAGAGTAGAAAATTCCAATTCAAAGTGGAGAAGTCGCCAATTTATGACCAAGAAGTGGAACTTTTGAAATAATAATTTATTTCTAATAAAAAATATATCAAAAAACATATTTCGTTTGATATTGATTGATGACACGTTAATATATAATGAAATTAAAAAATAAATCAAGATAATTATACTTTAAACACCGTAATTTTAGTCTGCTAGCTGCTGGCACGGTAGTTTGCAATTTCCATCTGGTAACACTGATTGCTATGGACAAATACAATTGTAGTTGTAGTTATAGCAGTAGGTATAAATATTATTTAAAAAATTACAAAATTGATTACAAAACGTTAACTTTAGTACCTACTTGCGTTCTCGTAACCTTATTTCCCTTAGTTCCTACTATCTATATAGCTAAGTACCTTTTGTGCCTCTACGTACGATTTGCTCTTTAGTAACAATGAGCTTAGTTGGGAAAAAGTGCGAATCGATATCCCTATCTGAACCTAACAAAGATGGTATATTACCAAGTGAAATAACTCCAGAAGACGTACTTAGGCTAGAGAAAATTACGGATACTTATTTATGCAGTCCTGAAGCTAATATATACGATATAGATTTTACAAGGTTCAAAATTCGTGATATGGAAACTGGTACAGTTTTATTCGAGATCGCGAAACCTCCTACGGATTTTGGCGTTGATAATGAAGGAACAGAAGATGCTTCAGATGAACCCCTTGATCCTAATGCTGGTAGATTTGTTCGATATCAATTTACACCCCAGTTTTTGAAATTGAAAACTGTTGGAGCTACGTAAGTTTTCTGTAATCTTAAGAAATTTTAGCAGTAATAAACATCAGTCTAGTGCTTTTTGAATAGAACATTTAATTACTGGTTACAAGGCATGCCATCTTAGTTCTCAGGGGTAATAGTGTAAATACATTTTGATTCTTAATTATTGATGATTGATATAATAATATTATGTATTAATGGGCCACATCATCTATCAGGTGGAATCTGTGCCTTAGACCCTTACTTTTAAGAAATAAATATTGATATATTCAAATGAATATTTTAATATCACCTGTTGCTATAAGTCTTAATGCCCAATAAATTAATATATTTTTTTTAAGAGTTAAGGCACATTAAAATAACACAATGATTTTCTTCTTCATTAGCTTAAGTCAACTGTTGTACATGGGCCTCCCTCATCATATGGACATTTTCTTTATTTGCCATGCTTTGTAGAGGAATTGGTGATTGAAGTACTGGGACCCTGGGTTTGGAATTTAAGGTCTCAAGTTAATGAGATAATAGCCATGTAGAGAAAGCAATGGGATATTTCTAAAAATTTCAATGGGATATTTGAAAATAAAGACTAGAAATGAGTTGGAGGGTGACTCGAACTTTAGGCCTAGTATGGCCAGGCCTAGGATGTCATGGGGGCAATGGTTAAATAGGGGCAAAAAGTGCTTATTACACTCTTAGGGGGTCAAAATGGCCAAAAAATAAAAATTCTTATTACGGCTGTAACTCCGCCTCCTTCGGAGGTTCTTACACAGTCTTTACTTCCTGCATTTGCACTTTTTCTTTTTTTTCCTGCACTTGTTCTAAGTTTGCTCTTTCTCTGCTATTAAATGGTTAAAATAACAACAACAAAAAGCTTGGTTAGTAGTGTAATGCTAACAATAAAAAATGTATTTCATATACACTTAATTAGAAACTATAATTAAAATAAAACTTAGCCATATATAAATATACACCATCAAACTACTGATCATATGATCAGGAATATTTTAACATGTTGTGTAATAAGTATCTTAGTAAGAATGACTGGTGTCAAATGTGGATTACTGTATGTGGCCATAATATTAAACAACATATGCACCATAGCCTTCGCAATGATATTTTCATTAAGTGATGGCTCAGTCAATGCATAAAAATGCACAAAATCTTTTTAACGATCGTAAGTAGGATGACAAATCAATCACTAGAGCTGTTGGATCAATGACCTTGCCGTGACATATTCTCATGGTTATCAGCCGTTTGTTTGTGCAATCGCACCTTTGTATACTGCAGTGTTGCTATTTAAATTTCTTTATTCAAATTGGTAGTTTATTTCTTTGTGATTTTATTATTTATTTTATAAAAAAGATTGCAAAAATAGAATTGTATTAAATTAATACTGCAGGATAACCATCCTTGCCAACCAGACTGGGTTATGGTTAAATGTTGTTTTAAGTGCATATTACTAAGGGCTGATTTTTCAATTTTCAGGTAAAGTTTGAAATTATTCATCAAATAAATGATTACTTGCCTAACTGTATAAAGTGAAACAATGGAAATAGTTAACTTACTGACACAAAATTGCAAATCTTAATTTGTTTATGTTGTATTTTATTTTATAAATAACTTTCATCTGATGATTAAAAATCAACCCTTAGGCAATTAAAATAATTACTAAGTAGCTTTTTCCTTCCATAATTAATTTGTTAAATTCCAGAGTTGAATTCACAGTGGGTGCTCGCCCTGTTAATCACTTTAGAATGATTGAGAAACATTTCTTTAGGGATACATTGCTTAAAACATTTGACTTTGAGTTTGGCTTCTGTATTCCATTTTCAAGAAATACATGTGAACATATTTATGAGTTTCCAACCCTGCCGCCAGATTTAGGTAATAATTTTTTACTGCTTTTAAAAAGTTCTTTAGCATTACAACTGTAAAATGTATTTGTTTAATTATTACAGTTGAGGAAATGATTGCTGCTCCATTTGAGACTTGTTCAGACAGTTTCTATTTCGTGGACAACCACCTGGTAATGCATAATAAAGCCGATTATGCTTATAACGGAGGAATTAACAAGTGAACTCAAAATCCTATTCACTTCAATTGTTAACTTAAAATTATGTTAGGAATTTAAAAAAAATTATTATTGAATATTACTTTTATTGCCTTGCTATTTTTTGTATTAAATTCTTTACATATTATGTTACCAATAATATTACAATAACAACATTCCAAATAGTTCCAAAAATTAAAAGGGAATACATTCCAGCTCCTAAACTAATATTATTTAATAGTGAGTAATGAATAACTCACCATTTAAAACCAATATGAACAGATACATTTATCACTTAAGTATGTTTTATGTGTTCAGATCACAGACCAATGAAGAAAAAGTTTTTTTTTGTTTGTTATGCTGAGGTAAAAATTTACCAAATGTGCTTTTTACACTTGTATTAATATTGATTAATGAAGCACAATAATATTTAAAATTAAATCATATTTACTTTAACTTATTAATACCATTTACATCAGTGATTCTTAACTTGTAACCTGTAGATGATGGTTAGTGTGCAAATACTGCTGATATAGTTTACAATAAAATTTGTTGTGTCATTAAAATAAGGGGTGCAAAATGAAACCTCTTTCCACATTCCTTTTTGTATGTCTTTTATATATAGAACTAACTTTAAAATCAATCTTACCATTATATTTTATTTCTGTAAACCTAACTTAGTTACTGTAAATATGGGAGCAACCCGGGTTCGATCCCCACCGGCACCAATGAAATTTTTGATTGCAGTTTTAAGTGCTGATTTACCATGTGCTCGGCGGTGAAGGAAAAGGAAACCTGCATGTGTAAGAAAAAAGAAAATAATATATTTCAAAGGCATGTAAAGTTCTCCAACATGCATTGTGGTAGCACATCGGACATTTCCTTGCCCTAAAACCCTCTCAGAATGGCTGTAATTTTAACTTTAAAAGTTGGCAGTCCATAGATTCATCTATCTGTTATGTATAACAAGTTAAGAACCACTGATTTACGTAAAAAGAATTATGATTGATCATTAATAATTATTTCAAGATTCAGAGCTCAAACAACATTTGAGATTTTTTTGGTATTTACCTTGCAAAGAGGGTATATCTTGATTTTATAAAAATGTATTTATTTTATAGTTGATAAGGTAATCAATGTACTGAGTTTGTTAGAAATTATTTAATTGCAAGTGTGTGAAAATTTTATCTTTAAAAGGCCAGTTTGAAGCATGTTTGATAATCACCTAATTTAAAATCTTTTTCAGTGTGAAACACTACATTGTAGGTAGGTAGTTAATAAGTGAGTGCATGTGGTCACAGATCATTAACAATAAAAATCTAGTCATATAGTAAGATTTATATATTGTTTGAAATATTTAATGGTATCTGTGTATTAATTCTTGAAATTATAGGAATTTAAAAATCAACTAATCTAAAAGGGTAATTGCCTAAAAAGCATGAAGTGACTTATGAAAACTGACATCATGACTACAGGGATTGGGAATTGGCTAAGTAATTACTGATTAGTATAAAAGTTGGATAGAAAAAATTGAAGTCAGCATGAGTTAAGTGATGGACAATTTTTAGGCTAGTTTGCACTGGTTAATTTTTTTAACCAATTACCTACTTGCTTGTATACCTCAGACTCGTATGGTGCTCACCAATCTCCGACTACTGAAAAAACTGCCTACCTTGGTCTACTGATCGTGTGCGCGACATATCCTCGGTCGGGCCAAATATCAGTTATTGAGTTTCCATCAAGAAATTTTTAGGTCAGGTACTAGGCGGTGTTTCATCACCGTGCCTCGAAAAGTACGTAAACTTGGATGTTGGTATTGCGCCTGATCTCTCTCTGGTCATGTCTGATTGCCGTCTCATCGAGTATTAGAGATGAGAGGGAAGAAAAAGCTAGAGAGTGCACCTCAGTGTTTCCACACGGTTTCAATTTTACCCTAGTTTCTTTTAGAATTTTCCCTAAAACTCCCAAAAAAAAATCTGTGAATTTGCTACATTTAGGGTGCATGATTAGAATAAAGAACAACATAAAATAATTTCACGTACATACATATCTATTCAAACACAACATGCCATTGTTGGGTTCCAGTAATGAGCAATTGTTTTGTTGTTGGGTTGATTTCTTTTTGTCAGTTTTTACAGAACACTGGTGTATTCAGGGTTTTCTGACAAAACACTGAATACACACCTCAGTATTTGAAGATGGAACTGCTAATAAAAGTGAAATGACCACTTCCAGGTTTCCAGGGTTTCGTTGGTGCTATATATAATACATTGGGAGGTATTGTTTACTAAAAAATACCACTAAACGCCTTAATTTTCTTAAATCCCTCTCAAAAGTCATACTTATTATTAGCAATTTCGCTTCCGTAACCCTAAAAAAAGACAAAATCCATTAATGTGGAAACACTGGTGCACCTGTGCTTGCACACACGCTTGTGCACTATAATTCTGTCTTGCGCAATGAGGGCTAATAATCTTCCACTCACCAGATGTCGCTAGTTGTGACTGAGGTAAAATTTTTTGATACACAATGTCAGTTAATTGAGAAATTAGTTTTAAATAATAGTTTATCATTATCTAGAGTATTATATTAATACACAACACAATGCGTCAGTGGTTTGATTTTTAATTTTTTGCACATTATAACTCTTTTTTTTAAAAATTCGTCTTTTAGTTATATTTATAGTTTGGTTTATTCATTTCTAATGTAATTAATATAAAATATAACTAATAATACATAAAGAAACCTTAAAGTTTACATTTTCCTAAGAAATTAATATCATCCCCGCTATGAAATCTGTCAAATATTTTACCTTACTCTAAAGTGGCGCCGCCCTGGTGGCAGAAAAAGTCGTGGATGCCCTCATTGGCTAGTCTCCGATGAGACTGGCCGTCGTGACCGAATTTCGGTCTTGTGAGGTCATTATTATTGAAAAAAAGCAACGAAACAATAGAATAAATGTCGCTTATAAATCATGCCGCATAAAATAATTACGCCAATTATTATAAGCTGTGCAATCTATAGATAAACTTAATTAAGAGGCACATGTTAATTTTTTATAAAAATATTTTTGTAATGAATTAAGTACCTATAGTTTGAGTTTGAGTTATTAAAAATAAAATATATAAGGTCGGAGAAAAAGTTTCTTCGTATTTTATAATACAAATTCAAGACATTTTTTTTTCAAAGTCTAATTAAATTTAATTATAATATATAAGTGCCATGTTCGATAACTTGTTGCCATCTTGTAGGTAGTAACATAATCCCGTTGTTGTAGAAATGCTGGAATTTTTTTTTATCAAAAAATGCGACAAGTAGTTTTGACAGTCCTCTTGATGTTAACCTAATGCTACACAAAGAATTCAGAAGAGACCGAAACAGGTGAAAATCTGAGGGTGCAAGATCAGCACTATATGGTGGATACATTAACACTTCCCAACCATGCTCTCTCAATTTTCGCTGAGTGGCCAAAGATGTGTGTGGCCTGGCGTTATCGTGATTAAAGACCATTCCTTTACTGTTGATCAATTCCGGCAGTAGAGATCCGAATCGCTCGGCTTTCCCCGGCGGTAAAAACTCATAATAAACAATGCCGTCCAATCCCACCATACACGCAGCTTCACCTTATTGCGTGTTAATTTGGATTTGGCTACAGTCTGTGGAGCTCGACTACCCTTTGACCATGATCTTTTCTGCACGTTCTTGTCGTAAGTTATCCATTCATCATCACCAGTGATCAATCTTTTCAAAAATGGTTCGGTTTCATTACGTGTCGATACAGAATCGCATGTGTGATACCCTCAAATATCGAGCTTCTTTATATAGTCAGACTTTTTTAAATGGGTCAAAACTGTTTTGTGGTCAATTCTCAATTTCTTGGATCTGTCGTAACTACTAATATACCGATCTTGTTCAACTTTTTCAAACATGGCATCGACTTTATCCGTATGGGGCGGCCAGGGCGAGCTGCATCTTTGACATCAAAATTCCCGAACTGAACACCGCTTGAAACAACTTTGTGTTACTCTTACTGACACTGCATTGGATCTATAAACGTTTTCGCGGCTCGAGTCGCTTTTTTCCCCTTTTTTGTAATAATACTTCAGAATGTATCGAATTTCTTCGTTACATTCACTCATATTGGCGGACAGAATAACACTTGAAAAATGGCGGGAAAGTGTTTTTTACTTTTTATTTTTCTCAATGTCCTGTATGTATTGATATTAAAACAAGCCAGATACAAACAGTTCAACCAAAGAGATTTTTCTTCAATTTTATACAAACAAAATAAGAAGAAACTTTTCCCCGACCTATGATATTAGTTTTTAAATGCAACATAATATTATATATATTAATTTTTTAATATGTACTACTTATGAGATTGTAAAGGTGATACCAGACGGGTCACTCGAGTGAATGGCGCACTCTAGTGAATGTTCTTTTTTCATTACATTCCACGTTTACATGACAGAGAAAAGAAAAAAGAAATTAAACATTCATCCGCTGTTTTAGCATTTTGCGTTTACTATGTGATTGTTTCACTTGAAGTAAAAGTGTTTAATGAAAGACATGAAATGAAAAAAATGGGAAGTCTGGTATCATCTTAATGAGGATTGAGTAAAAATTATCTAAGACATTCAGACATACAGTGAAACTGATAGAAATAATATGTTAAAAGAAAATTTTAAGTGGTATTATTATTATAAATTCATTGTTATTAGTTATCAAATTTAGTGCAGTTACTGTACTTAATGATTAAATACTATTGAATGTAAACTTTTTTTGATTGTACTGTTTTTAATGGCATAATTGTTTTCTAGACGTTTAGTAACCGATTTTCATAAAATTGTAAAATATTTCAATGAAAATCTATGTGGGCGATAGTTACACACTTAAAAGTTGGACAATATAGCATATACATAATTACATGACAACCCGCAATAGTTAACTTGAGACTGCAATCGGATGACGTAAGCGCGTGGTACTGACTCAATTTTAGTCAAAAATTATGTTTTTGTATGGTTGGT